GCCTACAGGGCGTGGCTGGTCTGTGGGTCTCCGGAGGCAGCAGACAGGTACCGGATAGCCAAGCGGGGTGCAGCAGTGGCAGTTGCCGAGGCAAAATCTCGGGCGTGGGAGGAGTTTGGTGAGGCCATGGAGAAAGACTATCGATCGGCTCCAAAGAGGTTCTGGCAAACTGTCCGGCGCCTCAGGAGAGGAAGGCAGCAACTCGCTCACACTGTTTACAGTGGGGAAGGGGAGCTGCTGACGTCAACTGAGGCTATAGTCGGACGGTGGAAGGAATACTTTGAGGAGCTCCTCAATCCCACCAATGTGCATTCCGAGGAGGAACCAGAGCTGGGAGGCCTGGGGATGGACTGTCCGATCTCGGGGGCAGAAGTTGCTGAGGTAGTCAAACAACTACACAGCGGCGGAGCCCCGGGGGCGGATGAGGTTCGTCCTGGGTATCTCAAGGCTATGGATGTTGTAGGGCTGTCATGGTTGACACGTCTCTACAACATTGCGTGGTCATCGGGGGCAGTTCCTAGGGAGTGGCAGACCGGGGTGGTGGTCCCCATCTTTAAGAAGGGTGACCTGAGGGTGTGTTCCAACTATAGGGGGATCACACTCCTCAGCCTCCCTGGAAAGGTCTACGCCAAGGTACTGGAGAGGAGGGTCAGATCGATAGTTGAATCTCAGATAGAGGAGGAGCAATGTGGTTTTCGTCCTGGCCGTGGAACTGTGGACCAGCTCTATACCCTTGCAAGGGTGATGGAGGGGGCATGGGAGTTTGCCCAACCAATCCACATGTGCGTTGTGGATTTGGAGAAGGCTTATGACCGTGTCCCCAGGGGCACCCTGTGGGGGACGCTCCAGGAGTATGGGGTGGGTGGCTTTCTGTTAAGGGCCATTCAGTCCCTTTACCAGAGGAGCGTGAGTTTGGTCCGCATAGCCGGTAGTAAGTCGGACCTGTTCCCAGTGAGGGTTGGACTCCGCCAGGGCTGCCCTTTGTCACCGGTTCTGTTCATCACTTTTATGGACAGAATTTCTAGACGCAGCCGTGGTGTGGAGTGTGTTGAGTTTGGTGGCAGGAGAATCTCGTCTCTGCTTTTTGCGGATGATGTGGTCCTCCTAGCTTCATCCAGCTCTGACCTTCAGCTCTTGCTGGGTAGGTTCGCGGCCGAATGTGAAGCGGCTGGGATGAGGATCAGCACCTCCAAATCTGAGACCATGGTTCTCGACCGGAAAAGGGTGGCTTGCCACCTCCGGGTCGGGGGAGAGGTCCTACCTCAAGTGGAGGAGTTTAAGTATCTCGGGGTCTTGTTCACGAGTGAGGGTAGGAGGGATCGGGAGATCGACAGGCGGATTGGTTCGGCGTTTGCAGTGTTGCGGACGCTGAGCCGATCTGTCGTGGGGAAGAGGGAGCTGAGCCAGAAAGCCAGGCTCTCGATTTACCGGTCGATCTACGTCCCAATCCTCACCTATGGTCATGAGCTTTGGGTAATGACCGAAAGAACAAGATCGCGGATACAAGCAGCCAAAATGAGTTTCCTCCGTAGGGTGGCCGGGCTCAGCCTTAGAGATAGGGTGAGGAGCTCGGACATTCGGGAGGGACTCGGAGTAGAACCGCTGCTCCTCCGGATCGAAAGGAGCCAGTTGAGGTGGTTTGGGTATCTGGTCAGGATGCCTCCTGGACACCTCCCCGGGGAGGTGTTTCGGGCATGTCCTGCCGGCAGAAGGCCCCCGGGTCGACCCAGGACACGTTGGAGAGGTAACATCTCCAATCTGGTCCGGGAACGCCTTGGGGTCCTGCCGGAGGAGCTGGTGGACAAGGCCGGGGAGAGGACGGCCTGGAGCTCCCTAATTGGGATGCTGCCCCCACGACCCGGACCCGGATAAGCGGAGGAAGACGAAGACGAAGTCCCTTTTCTGCAGTTCTAGAAGCAGACTCTTGTTCATTTTTGTGGAGCGCAGTCCGTCCGGCTCATCCACGCACACACATAGACAGTAACGGATCTCGCTGTGATTGTTTCACTGTTGCTCACGTTTCTTCAGTTTTCCCTAGGTTTTCTTCAGCTCGCCTCTTTTTCGGTTGAATATTTAAAGTTACTTTTTTCGTAACTTACATGGTGCATTTGACAAGACAGAGCTGACGTGCTGCATCAGTCACTCACTACCTCCGCTCCGGTCGGGTTTTTTTATTTTTTTAACTCCATCTCTCTCCCTCCCACCCTCTCTATCTCTCTCAGACACACACACCTTAATCAACATTGTCTTGTTTAACTTTGTGTGGGGCAAAATGCCAAGAAAGTTAAGAAAAAAATCAGTTAAATCAAATTAAAATAAAAAAATATTCATAAAGTTGTGTCTGGTTCTGGCATTTCATATTTCTTAGCTCCTACTGCATGAGTTCAGATGTATTAATTCATGCACTTAAATATTAATGTTCTAATTTTATTGAAACACTTGTTCTAAAATAGTTCCTTTACTATCAAAAATATTTAATCTCAATTCTGAGGCTGCTCTGTAAATAGTTTTCAAATAAACAATACACATATCAACTTCCGATCATTCCATATCAATTTCATATTTAAAATAATAAATTGATGTAAACCACATCCACTTCTGGTTAAACCACACCCACGTCCGGGTTATGCCACGCCCGTTCCGAGTACAGATACAGATACAGATAATTTAGTTGGTTGAACAGATACAGATACAGATACAGATTGTGGTGTACTCGCTCATCCCTACTGGCAACCCACAAAGTATTAGTGGAATTGCAGCTTTTACACTTTTTACATTAATATAATTCATAAGCAAGCCAGGGACCGACCGTGATGGACCTCAAGTGACAAATGTGATGTGCATATATTAGCTATTCAGTATTGATAATCTTATATTTCACTATGGTGGACGTGCATTTCTGTTCACCATAGTGAAATGCTAGATATCAATGATATTGTTCCTACGTAGGACTAGGTGTGTTAAAATTACATTATTTATATGTAATGATGAGCTTCTCCATTATAAGATATCTGTTTCCCAGATATGTGAGTAGCACCTGGTCCTGGTGACCCAGCCAGTTACAAAAACTAGTAGGGATCCTAACTTTTGTAAATTTGTAAATCATCCAGTGTAATCATATTACGGTATAAATCCTCCCAGGTGAATTCTGACTAAATCGACGACTTGTTCAAATCTATGAAGCATGGGGAAAGTAAAGGTCGGATCCCAAGCTAGCTAACTAACTTTTGTAACTACCATACTCAATTTGCCCCAACTAGTGGACGCCAGGCTAACCTGGCATAAAGAAAAGCAATATAAATCGCTACCTTCCCCCTCCCTTGAATATTCGTGTAACTCCTTACTGACATCCACCATGGCAGACCCTACGTCAGGTGACGTGGCTGAAAAGGGTCAAAATTACTCCATCGTAATGCTGATGATATTAATGTGTAGATAAAAGATGGAAAGAGGAAAACACTGACTGTCTTTGGAGGACCACTATCCTGATGGGTGAGCCAATCCTGGAAGTCAGAACAACAAACAGATTGAGAGCTGTTTTAGTGAAAAATGACAGTCTACAAGAAAAATCAATCAGTTCCACCCTAGAATATAGAAAGATGTCAATTTTGCAGCACGGTAAACACAGAGAAATTTGAAACGACACAAACAAGCCAATTAAGTGACAAATGAGGCTAACTAGTAAACAGTAAAGCTGCAATGGCAAATTTAGAAAACAAATTAGCTTAAAACATTTTTTCATGCCTTTTAAAAATGTTCTAACATAATAAATAAATTGTGGATATTAAAAAAATTCAATAAAGTGGTTCTTTGGCGTTTATCTAAAATCCTTTGCCAATAACACGTTTCAGACCTAAAGCAATTATTGGATCATCTGGGTGTCGGACTAGCCAAACCACTGCACTCCCCAGGGACCTGCATTCAAAACACACTCACATATTTATCAACAGAACGCCACTGGTGTGAGTTTCTCAGCTCAGTAATATCAGAGAAAGAGAAACAGTCGGCTGCTACCACTTCTACTTTAGGACTAACTACTAGAGTCCCAATAAAAAACACCATTTGAAGTCACGGACAACAAAAGACATTTGGACCTGGAAAACGGTGATGGGTGTTTAGCCCCATCTCTTTTCCTCTGGCGTTGTGGGTTACTAGTTCTGGCAGAAGCGTCTCAGGGAATTTACCCGGGGTGGGGGGGGATGGGGGAGTGTGCCGTGGTTGTGTTCAAAGCTTGTTTGTAGATTTGCTGTAACAGCTTTTAAAGAGAAATATAATTTCTAAAATCAAAACAACAAAACAATTGCACGATTTCTAAAGGTTTATTAAAGCGATGCTAAAGAGTTAACACTTTTAGCTATAGCTTTAAAACTGGTTTCGGTGATTTTTCACAAAATCTTAAGCAGCTTCACATTGGACAGCACTCTGTATCCCTCTGCTGACCAGAAACTACGTTCAACGGTTTTCTATGTAAAATTTGAATACATTGTATGTATTTATGTAAAATACATAAATAATCCCTTGAAAGTGAAAGCCGGCCTGTTCTCTAGCGCCACCATCAGGCCAAACTGAAATCATCAGACCAAAGTTAAAATAAATGTATCTTGAAAAGTTTTCATACAAATCTTCTCATATTTTCTAACAACATTAATGATCACAAGATTATGAACCTTAATGGGTTTTAGTGATGATATGACCTTTCCTGCAAGTATATCTTACAAATCTTTCATCCAAATCTTTACTAATTTAGGGTGCACATTCATGATTCTCACAGGATGAACCATAATGATTGATGTTGGTGACCCCCCTTTTCCCTCTTGTAAACATATTTACTTATTTTCATCTGTTTTTGTCACATAGTTAGAAAGTCAAACTCTCCCCTCCTCTTTTTTATCCGGGCTTGGGACCGGCAGTGGCAGAGTTAGAGTTTTTTTTTTTTTTTGCTTTTATTTTAGTTTATGATTTTTTTTATTTTATTTTATTTTTTTATTTTTTTTGCTTTTTATATTTTGTTTTTGTTTTTTTGTGTGTTGGGGGATTACATGTTTGAAAGTTCCCCCATCTCTCAAACAGAAAATAATAATGAGAACATCAGGCAGAACATGGAACAGTCTCTATCCCCACAGTCAAACTTTTAGTTTGCACTACTGTACACAGGATGTGTAGAGAGTGTGTGCATGCTCCTTGCAGACACATTTCTTGCACTTCAAACAGGTCATGCTAGTCTTAGAGTCATTGAGGGTGGGGCTTACCTGGCACCTACCACGCTTCTTGCCTGCTGTTTGTGCCACTGGAGGAATTTGGGTGTTTGTTTCTGTCTGTATGTCTCTCAAAACAGCTACAGCAGCCGTTGATGCTCTTGGAAGGCACGGCTTTCTCTCAATCTGAGGTTTCACCAGTGCATTACCAAGCTGCTCCAGGAAAATCCTCCTTCGGCTCAGTTTCTCCCCATTCCAGTCTGTTTATCTCTCTCCACATCACGAATGCATTGTATGCACTCACATCAACGATGTGGAAGAAGATGACAAGGGGCCAACGGGCAGTCATGCGTCGACAACCAACACATTCTCACTCCCAGCGCGCCAAAAAAAAACACTTGGTCAGCCACCCTCCACGTCAGACCCCTGACGCCAAAAGTGCCCTTTTTCGTTACTTATGTGCAAACAGGGGTTTTTCCCTTTTCTAACTGCAGATCCCAGTGCAGCGTTACACTGACGCGATGGGATATCCGCTGATGCGGCACCGAACCAGCTCATTTAACCGCACCTAAACCTTAAAGTTTCACTATTTACAACCTTCCCCTCACCCTCATCCTAACCTTAACCCTCTTGCTACCTAAAACATTACTCTCACTGTGATCAAGCATTTGTTTCCCATGCATTCTGACTGTGAGTTTTCGTATTTGCCGCCCAAGGGGAACGTTAGAACATACCATCTGGCGAGGGGGAGGTTACAAATACCCTCTACTTTTAACCTCCACCATGGTAGGTGAAACTTCCCCCTCGCGTTGGCTCGGTCCAAACTTGACCAATGACGAGCCGGCTCCCGCCGTTCACTTCACAGAGCCGACTTTTAGAGCATCGACACATCACTAACATGTTAGCTAGCAAGATGGTTAAGGTTAGGATAGGGGTGAGGGGAAGGTTAAATAAGAGGATAAGGTTAGGGTGAGGTACAATGAGCTTGTTTGTTGCCCTGGCTGCGGACATCCCATCGCGTCAGTTTTACGCTGCATTGGGATCTGCAGTTAGAAAAGGGAAAACCCCCTTTTCTCACATAAGTAACGAAAAAGGACACTTTTGGCGTCAGGAGTCTGAGGTGGAGGGTGGTTGACCAAGCGTTTGTTTTTGACGCGCTGGGAGTGAGAATGTGTTGCAACAACTGTATGTGGCTGTGATCGTGGGTGGGTGTCTTGTTTATTTATCTAAACAGGGTCTTTGGGGAGGCAGTGGCTGGTTTAACTTCTCAGATTCATCCTGAGCAGTGCTACCCACTGCCACCAGGAGATGGGATGTCTTCTAATTAGCCTTTTCTGATTTGTTAGCAGGGAGGTTAGTTGCTAGGTTGTTTGTCTTTGTGCTGACGGAGACATCCCGGGGTTACAAATTTCTTGAAATGCCTCCACACAGAAACTTTTTCCTGTTTTTTTGTGTCTGAGTGTGGAGCGTCTCTCTGGGACTCGAGGCTTTCTGCTAAAGAGTCGTTTTCAGCAGGAAGACTCTTGTTTCCTTCTGCAGCGTCCACGTTCTGCTCACTGATCGTTTCGGTTTGCTGATCTGGGTTAAAACATTCAGTCTTTAGTTTCAAGATCAGATTTTGACTTTCCAGATTTGTAGTCAGTGACTCGAGTTCAGAGACTTGTTCCTTCAGGATTCCCAACTCTTCCTCGTGCTGCTTTTTGCTTCTAAACAGATCTAACTGGAGGTTAACGACGACTTTACAGAGTTTTGTTTCTTTTTCCTCCATCTCTTTTAGTTTGGTCATCAGATCATCATGACCTGCACTGCCCACGTCTCTGTTTTGGGCGAGCTCAGTCTCCAAACCAAGTCTGATCTTCTGCTCGTCTCTAAGCTGGTTTTCCAGGCTCTCACACAGGCCAGAAGTTTCCTGGAGTTGCTGGTACAGCTGGAGTCTGAGCTTCTGTTCGTTGGTGAAACCTGTTTCCAGGTTTTCACAGACGACAGATTTATCTTGGAGTTGATGTTTGACTCTCTCCAGCTGTTCAGCCAACTCCTGGTGAGAAGCAGCGTTCTCAGCGGTCAGGTTTTCCACGACCAGTCTGAGTTCTGAGTTGCTCTGAGTCAGATCTTTGATCTGCTCTTTAAGATCTGAATTCTCACAGACTATCGTCCTGTTAGAGTCCAGCTGAGCCTCGAAGCTAACTCTGAGCTGCTTCTCCATGTCCAGACTGTTGCTAAGTTCTTCACAGACGGACATTTTTTCATGGAGCAGCTGTTTAAACTTCTGCAGATCCTCACACATCTGATCTGATTTAGTTTCTACAGCCTGACCACCTCTCAGCATCTGACTGAGCTCCAAGTTCTTCTGTTTCAGATCATTGATCTCCTTCTTGAGATTTCCGTTCATTGAACTCATTTGATCTTTAGTTTTTTTGAGTTCTTCCTCACAGGTCAGGCGGAGCTCGTTTTCTTTGTTCAAACGTTTCTCTAAATCTTCACAGATTAGCTTCTTCTGTTTGAGCTGATGCTTAAAATCATTTTGTTCTTCCAGAAGTTTCCTGTCTCTGTTCTTCAGATCCGTTTTAACGTTGTCCAGCATCTCAGAGAGGTCACCGTTCCTTTTCTTAAGATCTTTGATTTCCTTCTTATAGTTCTCGTTAACAGTGACTTTATGCTGGGCGTTCTTCTGCTCCTGGACACTAACGAGTCTGAACCGACGTTCTTGATCTAAATCTGTTTGCAGATTTTCGATGAAAACGTTCTTTTCTGAAAGCTGCTCCTTTAAATTCTCCAGCTTGTCAAGAAACTTCTTTTCTGCGTTGCTTTTCTCATCTTTTTCTCTGCTTAACATCGCTTCTAAGCCTAAATGTTGTTCCTCCAGCTTTTCAAAGTTCTCGATCAGATCGTTTCTCGAGACTCCAGAAAAACGAGACTCGCCTGTCTCACCTTTTAGATCTGAGCAGATTTTTTGTAAATCTTTATTCACGTTTTTCTGCTCCTGTAACTTCTTTTCTAAGGTCACCAGCTTTTGTTGCTGCTGAACCAAACCGTTCTCCATCTCTTTAGTTTGCTCCTTGTAAAGCGCACACTGGTTCTCTGCAGCAAGCCTCTTCTCTTTCTCCTGATTAAAACAAGTATTTCTGTTCTGCAGTTTTTCTTTCAAATGATCCACTTGTTTCAAAAGGTCACAGATGACCGTTTTATCTTGGAGTTGATGTTTGACTCTCTCCTGCTGTTCAGCCAACTCCTGGTGAGAAGCAGCGTTCTCAGCGGTCAGGTTTTCCACGACCAGTCTGAGTTCTGAGTTGCTCTGAGTCAGATCTTTGATCTGCTCTTTAAGATCTGAATTCTCACAGACTATCGTCCTGTTAGAGTCCAGCTGAGCCTCGTAGCTAACTCTGAGCTGCTTCTCCATGTCCAGACTGCTGCTAAGTTCTTCACAGACGGACATTTTTCCGTTCATTGAACTCATTCGATTTTTAGTTTCTTTGAGTTCTTCCTCACAGGTCAGACGGAGCTCGTTTTCTTTGTTCAAACGTTTCTCTAAATCTTCACAGATTAGATTCTTCTGTTTGAGCTGGTGTTTAAAATAATTTTGCTCTTCCAGAAGTTTACTCTCTCTGTTCGTCCGATCCGTTTCAACGTTGTCCAGCATCTCAAAGAGGTCACCACTCCATTTCTTAAGATCGTTCAATTCCTTCTTATAGTTCTCGTTAACAGTGACTTTATGCTGGGCGTTCTTCTGCTCCTGGACACTAACGAGTCTGAACCGACGTTCTTGATCTAAATCTGTTTGCAGATTTTCGATGAAAACGTTCTTTTCTGAAAGCTGCTCCTTTAATTCCTCCAGCTTGTCAAGAAACTTCTTTTCTGCATTGCTTTTCTCATCTTTTTCTCTGCTTAACATCGCTTCTAAGCCCAAATGTCGTTCCTCCAGTTTTTCACACTGGTTCTCTGCAGCAATCCTCTTTTCCTTCTCCTGATTGAAACAAGTATTTATATTCTGCAGTTTTTCTTTCAAATAATCCACTTGTTTCAGAAGTTCATCAGTTTGGCTGCTTTTAAAATCAGCTAATTCCTGCTGAACCGTCTGAGGTCTTGGGACAACTGTCTGAGATTCAGAGAACTCCAGTTCAGCAGATAAATGAGTCTCATTAGGAAGTGACTCTTTCTCAGCACCAAAGACGGATGTTTGATCTGACATCTGAGACTCCATCTCTTCAGTTTTAGACAGATCTGACTTTTCGTCCTCACTATCGGAACCAAAGTCGATGACTAAATCATAATCCATTTCAACAGGGTTGACACATAAGTCGTGCCAGCAGATGTTTTTGCTGTTCATCAATTCAGCGAAAGTAAAGGGTTGTTCTGCCTTACTTGGGCGTTGAAAATCAACAAATTCCTGCTGAACCGTCTGAGGTCTTGGGACAACTGTTTGAGATTCAGAGATCTTCAGTTCAGCAGATAAATGAGTCTCATTAGGAAGTGACTCTTTCTCAGCACCAAAGACGGATGTTTGATCTGACACCTGAGACGCCATCTCTTCAGTTTTAGACAGATCTGACTTTTCGTCCTCACTATCGGAACCAAAGTCGATGACTAAATCATAATCCATTTCAACGGGGTTGACACACAAGTCGTGCCAGCAGATGTTTTTGCTGTTCATCAATTCAGCGAAAGTAAGGGGTTGTTCTGCCTTAATTGGGCGTTGAAAATCAACAAATTCCTGCTCGATGACTAAATCATAATCCACTTCTACTTGGTTGACCCACATGTCGTACCACGACATATTTTTTCTGTTCATCATTGGAGTGAAAAAAAGGGTTTTTTCAATCTCACTTGGGTGTCCAACCACAGTGGTGCTTTCTCAGCAAGAGCTCTGACAAGACTGAAGGGGAGCTGCTGCTCGTGGTCCTTTTATAGTCTCGGAATGTTCCAAGTTCAAACCCCCCTTTATGATGTCACACAGAGATTCAGCTATTGTGTTTGTTATATTTATTCATATCATTGTAGTTATTATTAATAATATTAATATTATTAATAATTATTATTATATTAATAATAATATTAGTATTAATATTAATATGAATGAAACACAAATTAATGAATGGAATCTTCCGGGTTCAAACCCTCCTTTATGATGTCACACAGAGACTCTTCTATTGTGTTTGTTATAGTTATTAATATTATTGTAGTTATTAATAATAATATTAATATTATTAATAATTATTATTATATTAATAATAATATTAGTATTAATATTAATATGAATAAAACACACATTAATGAATGGAATCTTCCGGGTTCAAACCCTCCTTTATGATGTCACACAGAGACTCTTATATTGTGTTTGTTATTGTAATTAGTATTATTGTAGTTATTATTATTATTATTATTAATAATAATAATAATTATTATTATATTAATGAAAATATTTGTATTAATATTAATATGAATAAAACACACATTAATCAATGGAATCTTCCGGGTTCAAACCCTCCTTTATGATGTCACACGCAGACTCAGCTCTTGTGTTTGTTATTGTTATTACTATGGTTATTGTTGTAGTTATTAGGGATGAGCGAGTACACCACTATCTGTATCTGTTCAACCAACTAAATTATCTGTATCTGTACTAGGAACGGGCGTGGCATAACCCGGAAGTGGGCGTGGTTTAACTCGGAAGTGGGTGTGGTTTACATCAATATATTATTTTAAGTCTGAAATTGATATGGAATGATCAGAAGTTGATATGTGTATTGTTTATTTGAAAACTATTTACAGAGCAGCCTCAGAATTGAGATTAAATATTTTTATCACAATAGTTAAGAACCTATTACAATTACAGAACAAGTGTTTCAATAAAATAAGAACATTAATATTTAAGTGCATGGATTAATACATCTGAACTCATGCAGTAGGAACTAGGAAATATGAAATGCTAGAACCAGAAACAACTTCATGTATATTTTTTTTATTTTAATTTGATTTAACTGATTTTTTCTTAACGTTCTTGGCATTTTGCCCCACACAAAGTTAAACAAGGCAATGTTGATTAAGGTGTGTGTGTCTGAGAGAGATAGAGAAGGTGAGAGGGAGAGAGATGGAGTTAAAAAAAATATATAAAAAACCCGACCGGAGCGGAGGTAGTGAGTGACTGATGCAGCACGTCAGCTCTGTCTTGTCAAGTGCACCATGTAAGTTACGAAAAAAGTAACTTTAAATATTCAACCGAAAAAGAGGCGAGCTGAAGAAAACCTAGGGAAAACTGAAGAAACGTGAGCAACAGTGAAGCAATCACAGCGAGATCCGTTACTGTCTGTGTGTGTGCGTGGATGAGCCGGACGGACTGCGCTCCTGGCTGGCTAGAGAGTTTTGTGCGTAGGGACAGGCGGGCGCTCTATGTGACTGGCCAATCACAGAGCATGAAGACAGTCAGTTACCCAATGAGGATTTTTCTTCAGCACAATTACAGATATTTACGAGGTTTGCTCGTTTCATGCTCGTATTTGTCAAAAATGCTTTATCCGTACCGGATACTCGTCTGAAACAAGTATCCGGCTCATCCCTAAAATAAACAATACACATATCAACTTCTGATCATTCCATATCAATTTCAGACTTAAAATAATATATTGATGTAAACCACACCCACTTCCGGGTTGTACCACGCCCATTCCGAGTACAGATACAGATACAGATAATTTAGTTGGTTGAACAGATACAGATACAGATAGTGGTGTACTCGCTCATCCCTATTTCAAACCCTTCCAGCGGGCACGGGAGCTCCTTCCTGGGCCGCAGCCGGCCGGCAGCAGCGGGGTATTCGTAATTTGGCATATAAGTCACTTTGGTATATAAGTCGCAGGACCAGCCAGACTATGAAAAAAAGTGTGACTTATAGTCCGGAAAATACGTTACTTAATGATAAATGATAAATGACCCGCACTTGTATAGCGCCTCTCAGAGTAAGGACTCCAAAGCGCTTTACACTACAGTGTATCATTCATCCATTCACACACACATTCACACACTGATGGTGATGAGCTATGATGTAGCCACAGCTGCCCTGGGGCGCACTGACAGAGGTGAGGCTGCCAAGAATGGGCGCCACCGGTCCCTCTCACCACCACCAGCAGGCAAGGTGGGTTAAGTGTCTCGCCCAAGGACACAACAGCAGAATTCTCTGTCCGGAGCCGGGATCGAACCTGCAACCTTCCGATTACTGGACAACCCCCTCAACCTGTTGTACTTAAAGGGTAGTATTAAACAAGAATTACATTTTAACAAAAGTGAGAAAAGCTTAAAACTTGAAGGATACAGTGATGCTGACTGGGCAGCTGATAAAGACAGCAGAAGAAGTACTACAAGATATGTGTGGCAAGGTGGAGAAACGAGGGCCCGGGCAGGATTCCCAGACTCCCTGGTGAGAGTCACGCACGCTAACCAGTCAGCCAAATGGACATCCCCTTGGCCAAGTAGCCAGGGCGCATGATCAATCGGGACACTCTGACAGGATGCCCACACTGCCACATATTGTTTTAGTCTATTTGAAAAGGGTCCGATTGTATCATGGAAAAGTAGAAAACAACCTACAGTTGCGCTATCAACATGTGAAGCCGAGTACATGGCATTAGCTGCCACAACTCAAGAGAGTATATACCTTGTACAGCTACCTAGAGGGATAGATAGTTGTAACAAACATGTACCCATCAGAATATACAGAGAAAACCAGGGGGCAATGGCATTATCCAAAAACCCAGTACCCAGACACAGAAGCAAACATATAGATATTAGATATCATTGTGTACGATCAGCATACAAACGGAATGATAAACATCGAGTATTGCTCTACAGAAAACATGGCTGCTGATGTATTCACAAAGCCAGTACCAAAAACAAAGTTTGAGACTTTTAAAGAGTACTTGTTTGGAAAATAATGTGAACTGAAAAGACGTGATGTACTGAAGATGCAAACGAAAAGGTGAAGAAAGAAAAACAAAAAAGAGAAAAAGTAGTTCTAAAAAAAGTTCTTCTATTTTTTTATGCGCTTTATTGAAATTTACGTCGTATGTGTATTACTCATTTGTTATTTAGTACAATAGAGAATCACTAGACATGCCTTTGAGTTGGAGTGTTGAGTATATTGTGTAACAAAGGCATGTCACGTGACTCGAGTGATGACATCACATGAACTGTGCGAGCACCGGAATGCTATTTCAGTTGAGCATGCGCAACAAACGATCTGTGTGTTCTCTAACTCAGACCAAAAGGAGAAAGATGGCGATCTGTGTTTTTTCCTCCGGTGATTGTTAGCGGCTACACTGTTCAGCTAACCACTTTGGTGGCAGGCATCACGCTGAAAGATATCTAACGTAACAGGGCACAGGTTACCTTGGTTTTTTTAAGTAGACTGAGCTTATTGGGGTTTACAGTGTGTGTGGCTTTACTCTTACTACTCCTGTCCAATGTTTTTTAAGTACAGCAGGATGGAAGTGCAATTTTATCACTATTACATTATTACATAAATCAATTTAAAGACATGGTGTTTTCATTTTACTGTATTTAAAGGGTTAAACATTCCCAACAACTAATTAGTAAATAAATAAATAAAGCCACGGGTTGTACCACTCAGCAGTACATAGAGGGCTGCTCATGCCTCATTGTCTCATTGCAGCTGATTCTCACACACATCCAGCTTATCAAGCCCAACATAAACCTCTGAGATCCAAAGGCAGTGCTGCTGGTCCCATTTCTCCTCATTAGCTAGCGCACACCCAAATGCATTGAAGATAATTATGCATAATGTGAATATGCTGCCAAAATAATGGAACAGCAGCATCATGATAATTACGCTGAGTTCAGTATGAGACAGTCTGATGCTGAATGGTGGAAAGTGAGGAATGTAGAAGCAATCCAGCCTACCCCTCTAATTTTCTCCTTGGTTTCTTTCATTCCATCACCTTGCCAGGTAATGTAACAAACATGTGGATGTGGACGTCACAGGAGGGCAGGACCAGAGCCAGCTCAGAGCACTGAGCTGCTCTCCTCTGGACTTTCATCTGTACTGAATTTGGCAGCTCGTAGCTCACATCTGTGCTGCTTCTCTGGGGTTCTCTTGGTTCGAATGACTACTAATTAAAGGTTGAAGATGCAAATATATTTCTGCCTTTACTATTTTACATGGAGGCTTTACAAGAGGTAATTTAAAATGCTACTTGTACAGTTATTTATAAATCAATTTTGTCTTTTCCACATATTCAGAAGGCTCATTTTCTCCAATAAAATGTTATTCATAAGTTAGAGAAAAAGACACTGTTCCAAACAATAAGTAAATGTTATTGGTTAAAAAGTAAATAATAAATAATTATTTAAAAGATTAATCAATTTGAAATGAGTGGGATAAAATAATAATAATAATAATAATAATAATAATAGTAGTAGTAGTAGTAGTAGTAGTAGTAGTAGTAGTAGTAGTAGTAGTAGTAGTAGTAGTAGTAGTAGTAGTAGTAGTAGAAGTAGTAGCAGCAGCAGCAGATGGCAGCAAAGTGCAGTCTGATAGTAAAGTGCATGAAAGAGGCTTCATTGTGTCTTCATTCATTCATTTGATCCAATCAGGAAAGAAGTCATTTTATTGTCTGTCTTGATCCTGGATCCCTTACAGCAGAGGTAGACAACTCCTTTCCCTTGTCAGTATTCAGTATGTTTTAGTTGTATCCCTGCTTCAACACACCTGATTTTAATGAGCAGGTGATTGAAAAACGTTTGCAGCTCTCCATGAGCTTCTGAACAGGTGAATCAACTGTGTTGGAGCAAGGAAACAACTAAAACATGCTGGACACTGGCCCTTGGGGAATGGAATTGTCCACTTCTGCCATACAGTCTCCTATAGTGGTGCAAATAATGTGTGCAGAGTAGGTG